CGAGGACCCGCCGTATCGTCGGTACGAAATGATTCTTTTCTGCGTGGACAAAAATTTTTTAACCATCGAGATATCGATTTTTAATAACCAGCAACGGGGGTCGACAGTGACGCGTTAATTAAAAGTAATCGACGAATCGATAATAAGGATTCGGTAGAATGTTAACAGCACGTCGAGAGAATTATATTCGCTGCGCAGAGTATTAACGAATTAATCGATTACAGAAATTCGCTAATTATCAACGTACTTGAAGCATATTGACCATAATTAGTTTCGTAAAACGCGCACGGTAATGATATACATATGTACGTTGAATCCAATCGCTATTAATTACGTTCCCTTTGCAGCGCCGGATGAAATTGAAATCGAATGGGAGCCCTAGGTACGACGACACGGTCGAGGATGTATGCATTTAGGTTCCATTAAATTTTTGTTTACCGTTCCGGGAGATTTTTCTACATTTCGCCGCGCTGACTCCGGAGATTTAGGGGACCTTCGTTGGCTTCGAAATTCGTGCCAAAAGCGCGCGCACTGTCCGATCTTGTCGCTGGACGCGTGAAAAATGGCATCATCCTGCCCGCGACACATTTAATTTTGATAAAATGACTGGTATTTATCAGTACGTTGCACAACCGTCTGGCAGAAAAAAAAATGAGTACCGTACTTCCTTGATCGAGTTATCGTTCTATTTCCAGTCGACTGTCACCGAGTGACGCTGTATTTTCTCCTCGAGCACGATCTAAAAATCTTGAAACGGATGGAAACAATCAACAATATTCCCTCGACGCGAGATTCAAAAAATTCTTTGTCCACTCGATCCAATAAAAAGTTTGTTGAAATTTTCTGGCTGAACAATTCCCACTATGTTTGCACAACTTTTCGCCGTTTGTCATTTCTACGTTTCATCGGAGGAGGAAAAGGACCCACGTGTTTTTCAATTATTGCAACAAATTACTCAGCGTGAGATCATTTGTGTTGCGTTCGGAACGGTAACTAAGTATAGCTCTGACGATACCTTTTTAGGACAGCAACGAAATAACGTTCGAAAAACCAAAGAATCTATTTCACTCTCGTATTCACCACGAACGCTAAGAATAGGACACACGTTGCTCTATAATAATAAAATCAGAATTGTGTGTACCACATCGAGGAAGGTGTGAACGATTTTAAATCTAAAATAATATAAACAGCTTGAAAGTTATCATATTCCAAAAAATTTGAAAGCCACTGCTCTTCCACACGTGTCTCGTTCCTTAATTATGAATGCACCGGTGACATTGACATTAATTTTGTTCCTATTAGACAGTAGGTTTCTTCGATATGCTGGTGGACGTATAATGGATGATTGACGCATATGTGCCTGGCGTGTGTGACAATGTAAACGTTATCCAGGTGTACGTTCGCATACTGGAACGAGGCTCCTACGTTCCGACACAACTTCATTATGTATGATCATTCGAAAGGTGGACAGGGACAAAGAAGAACGAAAAGAAAACAGTACCTGTACGAATAAACAATCGACGTAGATTCAACCTGCAAACTCACTATTCTTTGGAATATACTTTTCTTGACCTACTGTATCAACGAATCGACGACGTTTGCAATGAGTTTTCGAGGAAGATTTTTCCTCAGGGGCAAAGAATAACGAAAAGAAAACAGTACCTGTACAAACTCGGTATTCTTATTGTTTAGAATGCACTTGTTTTGGCCTACTGTATCAGGGAATCGACGACGTTTGCGATGGAGTTTTCGAGGAAGATTTCCCGGATCATTCTGGATCACTGCACTCGTTCCTGGAACGATACGTTCGACTTAATTTAATTGCGCGAATTCTATATCACGTGGAGGAAACGCAGTCGCGCTGTCCCCCGAGTTTTCCTTCTTCCCCTTTTCTCCCAGCGTACTCTTTCCTCCACTTCCACCCCCTCGACCGACAATTTATGTTTTTCGCTGGCAAGCAGGAGATTTACGGAGGCAGTTCGCCGCGGTTCTGGAATTCGTGCCAAAACCGTGCAATCTGCAACGATCGAAGCGACGCGCGGCAAGTTGTATCGTTCCCGCGGATTCGCTTCGTCATTCGATTACACGACGAAAACGAATGCCTTCTGACGACTCGTCGAACCAATCTGCCCCGTCATTATTCTACTTATCGCTCCGCTGTTCACAGATAACAAACAAAAAAAAATGGAAACCTATTTCTAGAGAAGTATTCTGACTCATGGACAAACATTTATATTATAGTTTCGCGCCAAATTGACTTCTGGTTACATGCTGTTCGATACGTGGGGCTATCGTGTTCCAAAATTATGATTCCAACGTGTCACCTGCGATATTTCTAATTGTTCGAACACCGTAATTATCGAGAAATCTGTCTATGTTTAAAATAAACGGATGGAAGCTTCGACTTGGATACGTGTCGAGTCTATACTTAGAATTTTTGGTAAACGAGCATAACGTAGAGACGTTACACATAGGAACCGTGTTCGACAAGACTTTCTATTGGCCCAGACGTAACGAACGTGCGACCCGGCCAATTAAATTCAATCAAAACCGTTTGATCCAGCAGCGTGTCAATGTACAACCTAACTCCGCGAATGGCTGGAAAGTAAACGAATTGTTTTGCAGTCGGTAAAAAAAGAGAATGGGAATTTTCGTTGCGTGGACGGGTCGTTGCAAAAATATTACGCGACATCCCAAGAAACGCGGAAAGAGAAATATTCCAACTGTATTTTAACAGTAAAGGGAAGGTTATTTCGTTTAGTTTAGAAATCAAGTTGCAAGGGTTTGATCTAGCAACGCAGATTCGAGAATCTGAAGCAATAATTGATACCATTTCGGTTCGTTTCAGCGAAGGTTTCGCAAAACAATCTCCTACTTGTCCAGTGATACATCAGACGATAGTCTTTTTAGAGCATTCATGACCGAATCAATTATTGGCGGGTCCCGTGATATCGTTTCGCCAAATATCACGATTGTAATTTACCATCAATTAGAATCCATTGGTCTCGTTGGCCTAACCGCATATTATATGTATTATATATTATATATACATGCACGTACAATATATATACAGATGAAAATAGCTCAATACCCGATACAAATCAATAACCTCTGGCAAACGGTCTAATATAATTTAGTAAGATTAATATAGCAATCTGCTCTAATAACGTTATTCGGTCTATCAATGTTAATCTTCTTTTTCACGTTCACGTTCCTACTTTGTATTTCCATAATAATCGAAGTGACCAAGAAATATTATTTATTATAACCGAAGTATGAAATATTGTTTACACACGCCTGTACAGTTAATATTATATGTATTCGAAGGCCCAACGCGAGGTCATTAGTTAATTTTCAGCCTCGAGTCGTCCAATTTGTTATCTCCCGTTTAATATTCAGCCAAATACGTACGAAAAGGACAAGAGGAACGCGCGTTACAAGATATTAAATATATGAATATATATTTTAGCCAACGTTCGATCGCGTACTGTTTCAATCTCTTTTTACATTCCCGCTCAAGTCGTCCATCTCCGACCCATTGGAAAATCGATTAACCTTTCATCGTCGCACTCGTTACAATTTTTTTCCACCGCGGCTACGTTTCCCATCAAAGTTAAAAATATATTTCTTCGACGCCCGAGCAAATAACATATATCACGATCGCTGAAATTTTTATCGATTCGTTTCTGCGGTGCCCTAAGGCATCCCAAATAATGAGATTGCTATTTTACTTTAATTAAACGCGATTTAAATGAGCGGTAATTAATCGGATATCGGTAAAAGAGACTGGCAGTAATCGAGTCTCGTTGACAGAAACAGGAACCGTCAGTCATCTGGTCAGAGTCAATGGAATTGACAGTTATTGGAAGGCAGTCATAGGGACGTTGGGAATTTTTGCGGATTTTAATTAATTATTAATTCCTCCCACTCAACGAACGCGAGAATTATTACGTTACGTTGGTGTTGAGCGATTCCATGCATCGAATCAACAATTTTTTAGTTAAACTGTGTCCTGGGTTAATTGTTTTTTTCTTGTTTTATTTGGATTTACGTTCGTATGACTTTTTTACATATCTATTTTTGAAGCAGCGCTCATTGTTCTTGCATTAATTAAACTTAGTAAAAGCCACCGTCCTCGTCGCTGTTCCCCGGAACACTCGTGGCGTTGAAACGGTTAAGGCGCGCTTTAACACCTTAAACGACAAAGAACCAACCAGGAAGAGTATTCTAATCGCTTGGAATGCTCTTTCTTCGTCGTTACGAGGCAGACCTCCGTGAGAGGAACAAGCGCTACCAAGGTCCTACGTAATAATAGTAACACTTATCGCCGTGCCATAACGACGTCCAAACGACCAGTGGTAATAGATTCTACCATCGAAAATTTTAACATTTTACATGGAATAGAAGGAATAAATTAATTGTAGCCGCAGAGTTGAAGATTTCAATTGCATATCGGAATTTGTACAAAATAGAGCTCTGCTCGATAAGATAATTTTGTGTAATTCATCGTGCGACCATTGAGCCAATGAAGTCACATGATTGCCCTAATCTATGTATAATTGGTATTTTCGTACCTTCGTTGAAGATTACTCGTACGGTTTCGTAAGTATCTTTAATTTACGATCATAATAAAAGGTCAACCATGTGGCTTTGGGAGTTTATAAAATATAAGACACGAAAATATCTCTGTTGTTGCATGGAATTAATTGAATTTAAGAACAATCGTCTTTGTGTATCACGTTCCAAATAACATTTCATTCCATCACGATCGATGAAAACCCGGTACACTTTTGCTCGCCAATTTTAAATTCGTTGTATCAGCGATTACGGCGCGGGAGAAATAAAAAAAAAAAAAAAAACGCCAGTGCGTGGAACGATCGCGAAATCGAACGTAGCACGTGGACGGGTGGGGTGGGGAGTTTTTTTACAGGGAGAGGGGGGTCTCTTAGAAGAGATTTATACGTAGGTTCGAGAGGCTCGCGTTAGCCATTTGCGAACCGTGTTCGCCAATGCGATACCAACCGCTATCGTCCAACGATCGTCGCTTGGGGGGGGGGAAAAAAAGACTCCGTCGACCGTTCTCCTTTCACCTGCGATAAAAATTTGCTCCGTGATAGCGCGAACGAGGAGTGAATCGTTACGGGGAAGCTGTTCGCGACGGTTCGAGACGCAACGCGGCGGTGTGAATTTTCGAAAGATACGGAAAGTGGCGATCGCGCGCGCGACAAATTCTGTTCGAGCCCGCTCGAAACGGTGACCCAGAGGAGATCGACAGCTCGGAAACAGAAGAGAGGAACTGATGTTGGCGTCCAGCCGGAAGAGATACCGGAGACGAACGAGCGACAGTCTCGCTGGAAGTTTAAGGCCGAAGCCCTGAAAAGGTGATAACGTTCAACAAGCTGGATCCGCTGGACGTGGACGAGCTGGCCGTCGAGAGTACGCGCTCGCCTGAATGAAGCTGCACCGGATCACCGGTTCATAGGAGATCGATTCGAGCGAACCTCGTGATCGGCAAGGTACGATGCTCGTTCCACCGAACCCTAACCAGATATTCTATTTTTTCCGCGACCCTCTATTTCCACGGGCTCCGAAATCCCCAGGCTCGGCCCATTCTATCAGTAAACTCTCGACATTTTCATTGTTCCGCGTTATTTTCGAAGCATTTGTACGTTAGTGCGATCTATTCTCGATTTTCTATATAAAGAAAATAGGGGGATGGTCGTGGCTGGAGAGAACACTGTATTTTTGAATGACATTTTCTTGAATTAAAAATAATCGAAGTAATACAAGTTTGTCGATATAAAAAGATTTATTATAAATGCATGTGCGTAATGACGAAAGGTTAGACTCGTTTTCAATTCGCCACGGATTTAATTTAATCTCGCGGGTGTTGTGGCACCCGGCAACAATGTTTTCCGATTTAAAAAAAGGACTGTCGGGAGTTTGAAAGACAGAGGTTTAACGGATCGAATACGACGGGAATAGCTTATAGATTGGAGAAAAAACAACAAGTTTACGTGCACTTTTCGTTAACGAGGGGAATTCCCTTTGTGGGCCAAAAATAGCAGATTAAGAGTAAGTACTATAAATATGCGGTCGAGCCTCCATTGTCTGAGCCAATAGGGTGGGACATAACCGCGCCAATTAGGAAATTTTCGGATAATAACTGGCCTTCTCAACATTGTCTTACGATTTATTTTCTACTAACACAGAGTAAACGAAAAAATGTTTCATTCTGCAAATATACCTGACAAGGACATGCTTTGTTTCAACAGTAGATTCTAGCGATAATTGGAGAACAATTGAACAAACAGTAGAGGATTCAGGCAACACATGTTCAAACAACAGAGACTCCATTGTAACAATATACACGTTAAAACGACGGCTGCTTACGATCCAAGTGAAAATTAATGTTTTCTCAGACCCGTCATCGATATCATCATCGTTCCATTTTTAAGCGTACGTCCCAGTCTCGACGACGGTTGTCCTTAATTGTACTTAGACCCACTTTTCTTATTCCGGGAAATAATTGTATCGAGGTCGCTCGCGATGCTGACACAAGGATACGCGTATGAATAGACGCGTCATCGCGGTTGATAGGATAAATCTGTCGTTTGGGGATTCCCCCATGCGTTGGAAAATCGAAACTCCGGACACTTACCGCGATCAGATTAGCAATTCTCCGTTCTCGGCGGGATTTAATTTTCTTTTAAGCATTACAAAGAGGGCACGAATATTCGCAGGTATCGGAGGGAATCGTCCGCTGGGAAGTTCGCGAAACGTTTGATCGGTAAGTGTCAGAAACGCGGGGGGAGAAGTTAACGAGACGACGATAAAAATTGCGGAGTTAAATCGTTTCTGTTCGAGCGCCGGAAGAGACGCGTCGGCCCCGGCGAGTTTTAATGGAAAGCTCGTTCTTGCAGGTGGCTCGACACGGGAGAAAAGAGATTTTTAAAGCGCCAAAGAGAGGAAGAGTGAGAGAGAGAGAGAGAGAGAAAGAGAGGATTGGACGTCTCTGTATCGGATTCGCTTACGGCAGGCTTTAACTGTCACCCGATCCCTTGTGGCCGAACGAAATTCGACAGGTGAGTGAGCGAAGCCGCGGAACAATTTATCCGTAAATCGTGATCTAATAAAACTCGGATGAAACGTTCGACGAACACGTCCGCGGCGCGCGTGCGTGTTTAAATTAGAATCCGCAATCTGACGTGGGGAAATTAAAAAATTGTACCGTCGACAGCGCGCCCCGTTTCCTGGCCCCGAAAAATTTATGCGATCGTCGAGGCGTTCGGCTCGTTTCTAACGAAAAATTTACGACGGTCCGGCGAATTATTCACGCCTTTTTCGCCGCGGCGGTATATAGAGTGTAAAGAATCGATCCGATCGGCAACAATTCGCGACGAGGCTGTCCCCGTCAGCCCCGACGCGATATAATTTCCGTGAAACTGGCCGTGAAATCGAAATCGATTCGGCACTCGTCGACTGCTGGGGAACCGGGAAACGGGGCCGGCGTACACGAAAGTCATTGACACGTTTCTATACGGTCACACACGCGCGAGAAACGCTGACAAATGCCGTTGACAGCTTTCGTAAGCGGAATACTTTGCGAGCTCCAGCCAGAGACAGGAGTTTCTTGAACTCCGGACGACGTATTGTCGATTTCGCGGCTCCGCAGCATCCATCGTTAAACGAGATCCCAAGGAGGACGAGCAAATTGTTAGTTACTCGCGTCGATCCCTTGATCCACGATCGAAACGATCCGAGTTGCTAAAAAATAGGCTTTCCAAAACGAGAGACGAGAACACGTTTAGGTTTTTCCTGATTGCTCGGATGATGATCGAGATACTATCTCTTGGTGACGAGGAAAGTGAAACTGATAAGATGTCGTTGATTGCATCGTGAGTGTTTGTAAACACAATTCATTTGCAGTGAGACAGTCCAGTGTGTTAAATTATTTTTTCACATCGAGTTACCCCTTTTTTACCATCAGTGGCGGTATAGTTTTGCTTCGACCGGTTGGAAACATTCTTCCATAAAATTAGCGATCGAAAGTGTAGCAAACAGACCGAGTGTTTCCTGCTTGTGCAACGATACGCGAGTGGAAGAAAAAGAAAGTGGGATTATGTTATGCGCGTCGGGTTGATTCTGCCAACAATTAACTATCGACTGGCAGGAAACTCACATATAGTAGCCTCGAATAAACAAGACTGCCCCTCGTTGACCTTGAGTCAGCTAATTGTTTTTTATCACGATACGATCAACAATCATGTGTCAAATTGGTGAATTCAGTAGATATGATAAAAGTCCCAATTATCAGACCATTTTGCACCAACCGGAACTTCGTAATTGAGCTGTGATCCAAGATTACATCATGGCTGCTGTATTCTCGGTTCAATCGTCGCGTCATTTAACCATTTGAGCGTCAAGCAGCGAGATTACGCCGCTGACATTCCGTATTGAAAAGTGTATTGCCCCAACAGCAACAAAGTTTTTGCTATATGCGGTTACTCGAGAAATTTACTCGACATTTTTCTCTGTTCACACCAAATTACCAAAAAGAGGATCTAGAAATACGCGTTTCGGAATATTAATCTCGAGTTACAGTACGCAGAAGTCAGGATGTTACGTGGAGCGTTGCAAAACTCGTAAGAAAAGTGTCCTCGAGATCACCGGAAACGCAGACTAGCGCGTGCTAGTATCTAATGAAAATCTAAACGAGCGGGACTATTTTTAATTCTACAACTCGTAATACGTCGATAATACGGTTGAAAGGCAACAAATCTGTTCGAGATATCTCCAAGTATCATATCGCGAAGTCTGTCACTGTCACGTTGATTGACTTTGATTCCTCTCGTTTATACATTCGCCATTTCAAAAACGTTATCGATATCCCGATAAGACGACTATACTTTATCAAGTGTTTTGCTCAAAATTTCAAGAATCCACTCACTTGCAAGATAGATGAATATTCTAGCAATGTGTCGCCAACAAGTTGATTTATCGTGGTTTTGTCGATCGTTGATCGATCGAAAAGATACGCGTAATACTCTTTATCTATGTTAGGCAATAAAAGTAACGCTATCCATCTCCTGATACGATTTAATCGTAGCTAAAAATCCAGGGATTATTTAAGATCCATCGTCGAGACGATCCAAAGGCACCGATACTTTTTTCTAACCGATTTTTCAAGCGTTTTCGCGACGAGGCCACGGAATCGCCTTATCGCGAATCCAGTGGCGCTAGTATATCTACGAAATGCTCTTACGCAGCCTCAATAAAACCAGTCGGCGGACTTATAATTAATTTTTCATCCGGCCGCGATAAGAGCTCGAAAATTCGCTACGAAACGTAAAGACTCATTTCAGTCGATTAGAGCCGGGTTAAAAAGCAACGAACGCGAGCGTTCGACTCCGCGCGCGATTAAATAAATTTTGGCATAAACGCGTTATCGGGCCTTTTACTTTGTCAGGGATAATTTTATTCGATTTCAATAGCTAGAATTCGGGAATTAATGCGGCTTTTAATCCTGGAAATAACGAACTCCGGACCTAGCCGACTCTTCTCCAGCGTTTCGTGATATACTGATCGACTCGTACTTTACTTTCCGCGGGAAATAACGGGTTCGAAGTGATTTTATTAAACAAATAATTGTTTTCGCGTTGGACGAAAGGACGTCCAAACGTTGCTGTTCCTTTTTCCAAGAAATTTCGTGACAAATTTTTATCCTACTTGTCCAAAAAAAGGTACGCGAATAATCATAAACGCACGCCATGAAACGAGCGTATAATCAGGCGTGCTGGGAGTCTCAACGACGTTTCGCTGTTTTTCTGTTTTTCACCAGAACGGGATTAAAAATGCAAACCTCGAACTCGACAGAGTTGCGAGACAAATCTGCTGGAACCCGAGGCATTTCGAAATTAAAAATAGCTCCCTTTCAAGAACGTTTCCCGTGCCCTTGCGATCCGTTGGATACAAAAATGTGTTAATGTCCGTGTCTTTTCCGCGCTTGACCCCGGGCGAATAATTAAACGCAACCGCGGGAATAATTGTTTTTCGCCCGTAGATATTCTGGTGATTCTTATGGTTGTTTCTAAACACCCTCGGTATGCATTTTCAATGCCAACTATTTTATTCTAATTTTTGAAATTATGCACTCGCGAATCTTCGAATCAGAAATCACCATTTTGAGGAGCCCGATATGGATATTAATTTATATATGTTCGATCGTGAAAATTCTCTGTTCTTTTCCAACGATAAATAAATTATAAACGTTTATATTCTTTTTCTCGTATCCAGAAAGCCTGGCTCAGTTTTTACATTCGTTTAATTACCTCCGTTTTCTTGATGCCTATCGAATCACGCGCGAATAAATTCAATAATCGAGCTGCTCGAATCGTTCTGGAGCAGCGAATTGTTTTAAGGAAACTGTACTATCGCGCGTGAATAATCGACTGCCAGGGACTTTGTTCCGTGCAGCGTGTTTCACTCGTATCCCCGAACGGAGTAGACAAATATTTCGTGTCGTCTAGACAGTTCCATGATTAAGATCGCAACGAGAGCACAAGCACAATGAGTGATTCTTTATTAGGCAGCACGTGCGAGCCAATGGCCTGGGTTGGCTGTCGCCCGGGCAAAAGAGGTCGTTTAAAAATCGAGACGCTCGAGTCGGTCGACCTATCGACTCTTTCAATTGTTAATAACGAGGAAAGCTTTTTTATGTTGTTTGTTTAACCGTACGTACGCCCCGGGCACTTAACCGATAGAATCGCCCTGGTGCCCGAGTTGCTCGAGCCATCTCGATATTGAGTTTTCCCGGTTGCTTCCTACAGAAACACCGCGATTCTTCCTTTGCTTCGTTATCGACGAACCTAAATTAGCGTCAAGACTCCCCTGAGGTACGGAAGTGCGTCAAGATCCGCGAAATCATTGCTCGATTCGAATAAAAACGCCACAGGGCAGAATTAAACGATAATCTGGAAATAATTGTATGCACCGGTGCAGATTTGTTTATTACAGTCGAAGTATGCTACATTTCTGCTTATCAGCGCATTAAATTGTGCACTACAATGTTTGTAAACACGAGTTCACTGCTAATATCAATCAAGATTAACTTTTTTATCTAAGTGGTAGAAAATTACGTTTGCAGACTGGTCACGTTTGTTTCGATCAATTTTTTTAGCAAATTAGAACTTAATTTTTCAGTTAATTATGATCGATCACAATTTTTCATCCGATTCTATCCCAGTTAGCTGATGATTGTAAGACGAAACTGAGACATTTTTGACCGATAATAAAATTCTTTATCGATCATCGAGGCTCTCGATGAGAATGTTATTGTGACACCTTTTTGAGCCAGTGTTTCTCAAACCAGAGACGACCAAAAATTTCTATCGAGAACAGTCATTAATAAGTTCTCTGTCGTCGATAGTAAAATCATAAAAAAAAAGAGACCGGGGAAACTGAAAGGTTTAAAAGTTCGGAACAGCTGAAATTCGTTGCTCATTAAAAGTAGTACAAAGTAGCAAGTTTTATCGAATTTCTTTAGCCGCCGTTGGAACAGTTTTATCCGGGGAACCGAGCAATACCTTTCATTACCATTCGATGAAACAAAATTAATTTACTGTTAAAGTTCCAAGACCGAAGGAGGCAATTTGCTTTATATTTATTTAAATTGGTGGTCGAAATAGCAATCTTGAAAGACTGAAATCGATATTAAAACCATATTTAATCCGATACTGGCGCGAAAGGGTATCGATCAAAATTGGCCCAACTCCGTGGACGGACGATCGAAAGATTGCCAGGCGTTTGGAAACTTTCTTGGAAAAGCACGGTCCGCGTGATGAACGATATCGGACATAAATCCAAGAACAGGAAGTTCGAGACGCTGAACGATCCTAATAACGAGGAATAAATTTCTCCGTCGGGCCGAACTTTCTTCGTCCAGCGGTTAAGTAATTAAGTTTTCGAACCGGGTGGGGGGACCTCGGGGAACGCTGTCACCGCCAACAGTTCCAAAAACCTATTTTCGTTTCGTCGTCCGGTAATTTTTTTCCCCCCACCGGGAGGAAGCCAGCAATTTACTTTC